ATAGTAAGAGTAAGTATTGCGATCGTGAAAGTTATTTTCAATGGAAATACATGTTTTGAGGTCTCCTGAGTTCTGTGTGTGTGTGTGTGTGTATGTATGTTAGCTGTCCATGTTACAGCAACATTTTCGTCAAAATCGGCAAACCGGAAGTGCTATTTTATATAATCGATTTAACATATTTTAACAGCTCTAATGATTTTTATTAAACTCTGAATATTAGTGTATTATTAAGAAGTTTTTAATATAATGTAGGTTTTATTCTCATTGATGTTCTCTATCAGGGCTTAAATGGCTAATTTTCAATATTGGCTTCCTCTAAAGTACCTTTATTTTTTTTATTTTAAATAATTAACCATTTCACATTAATCTTTGATATAAAAAATAGTTAAATATAAAATATGAAAGAATTTTATAATTAACTAAAGGAGAAATAAGAGATCGTAATGGATAATAGTTATAATAGAGGAATCAAAGGAATACGAGCTCACACTCCCTGAAAGATTACGACAGGCTTCCATACATAACATGAGCTTCATATAATACGGACTCCGACAATATTATGTTCATATACATATGCGGTTTTTATAAATGCTATCGTTAGCATTATTTCATATTTAATTGTATAGAATACAGCGTTATAAAAATCAAAATTGGTAGATATATACAAGGGTATTTAAACAAATAAAAATACCCACAAAACGAACTAGTTCCACCAAATTTACTGTAAACAAGTCGGAATAGGAGTAAACAATTCTCTTTGCGGAACATTTTAATGTAGATCAATTAACAATACACCAATTAAACAAAAAATTCGCTTTGGAATTTCAGACGGAGTTCTAGGGTGAATATATAAAGGAAACTATATCAAGACAAATTTCTGGTAGACTACAGAAATAATATCCAAGATGTCTATAATGACGGTCTGAATAAATGGGAAAACAAGATTAACAAATGTATCGATTAAAGCGATGGAACGAAAGGAAAAAAATAACTGAACCATAGGCTTGAAATAATCCCAACTACATAGATGTGCTACTCTGAAGCTTAAAGAATTCCTTAAAGACAATATTTAAATATATGTATATGTCACAAATACAATATATTACGTTAAAAACAACAACAGAGAAATGGAAACTATTATAATTAAAAATGATAGAAGATGCAAGGACATTAACGATAGACCGGTAAGAAAATTCATGGACCGAATATCAGGTTGAGAAGTTATCGATTAATAGATACTTAGGCGCACTGACAAGAAGGGGTCACAGTCAGTGGGTCGCCGATTTCAACCTAACGTTTTTTTTTTATAATTCTGGACCCATATCCTGGGGTTCGTAGCGATATGCCTCAGGAGCCGAGAAAAAAGTATTATGTATAATGTTACGTTAAAATTGAAAAAAAATCCAATCACGCAGCCTTATGTATCCATAATGAAGGAAAAAAAATAATATATTTAATTTAGAAGACGTATTATTGACGTCTTATTTCTAAACAACTTTGAAGGGGTTTTATTCTTAGCCTGCATTTTGGGGACATAGGTCTGTTCCAATCATAACCTAACATTGATTTTCTGTCACTTGGTGAGTTTTTTTACTGATTTTTATTAATTTTATGTAATTTATAAAAAAAAAATATATTATTATTTTTTGCTTTTGTGCTGTACAATTAATAATATACCAACCGATTTCTGTTTTTATGTGAAATTATAAAAACATATTGCTGATAGCGTTAATAGAGTTAAAAGAAATTACAATAAGAAAAAAAATGTTTCCATTAAAGTATTCCTACCGTTAAGTAAAAATCATTCATAACTCCTAAGGATTTTCTCTCAATCCAACGTTAACACAACAGTTGGAAAGCTAAATTATAGCTCATACAACCAATATCAATTAAATTGTACTTCTCAAACGTTTTTCTTTTTATTTCTTGAGGTACAATTTGTTAACTGAGGTCGGTTTCGTGCCATTTCGCGTAATCTACAAGCTCTTAAATCTCCTATAATTTTCGTGTGTATCGGTGTAGGGATGCCTCCCCCCCCCTTCCTCCCCAAAGGTCGATGTCGCAAAAACCTACCATCCTCATCCCAAGATATTTTATTACTCACCTTTTCTTAAAAACAGAGCAAGCTAAGATAAAATTAGAAAAATCGTCGATCATATACATTTGCTGTCGTGTGTTCCATATTTTTCCTTTGTCCCTTAGTCCCAAAATTCATAACTTTGTAATTCATTCATAAATTTGTTCCCCTCAAAAATTCAAAAATCCGTCAAAATATGGCCCCTCAAAAATTTTGATAGCGCAACTTGAGCAATGAAACCCCCTTCTGGGCAGACCCCTGTATCGGCGGAGTTTCCTTTGAAGTTAACATAATATTTGAAAAAATCGTACAAAACCTTTAGCGAAAATCTTGACCATGAACTTTTATTATTAGATTAATACTTTTTAAATTTAGTTAAAAATGGAATGATAGTTTCAAACAGAACATCAGTAAATGTAATACAAATTATGTATAGACTTAATTATAAAATTTGAATATTAATTACATTTTGAACGTCTTTAATGGTCCGAAAAGGTCTTTCTGCAGTCTTAACGGTTAATAGATTTTACCTACACTTACACAAAACTTGCCGAATGCCACGAATATTGGTAATGGATCCCTACACAAGACTTGACTTTCTTTACGAATACGGCCAATGTTTAGCTAATCGTTTAAAACTTAAAAAATGCGTTAAAAATATATAGAAATAAAGCACGCCCCAGTATTTTGAAAAGAAAGAAAGGAAACAAAAATATCAGCATTTACCCAAAACAAATCAAAAACTCCTTAAAATGCAGAAAAAAAGAGAAGATGGAATCAGGATATTATAATACAAATACACAAAGAATAATAAAGGGGTTCTGAAATAGAAAAATAAAATAAATATTTTTGAATCTTTTACAAAACGGTTCCTCTATAAAAACATAGAAATATGCTGAAAAAAAAACTATTATTTTTTTTATTGCGGGAGGGAGAGGGGAAATTTAACACACCTCTAGTCATTGATGAAAATGTAATCCTTTATCCCTTGTACAAAATTATTATTGGATGCAGCATATTGTACCAATTCAACGAATGCCGTAATGTATTGATCCGGGTAGCGTAAAAGCATTTACTTCAAAAAAAAAAAATTAATAAATCCATTACTTCGTTGAAATCCTGTAACACATGTAAAATATTTCTGGAATATAACCACTTACTATCTGGTTACATTTCCAATTACTATTGTCAGTATTTATAAGTATATGGCAAGATAAAAAAAGCAATTTAATATCAACTCCAGCATTGGACCAAAGTAGATAAGAAATTGCAGATCCTAATGCGACAAATGTAGGATGTTCGTGTTCTCTTAATCATCTGTTTCAATGGTAATACATCTGTTTATAGTCGTTTGAAAACGTTGGTAAACAATGGCATATACCACTATACAGATATTTATTTTCAACTTTTAAAGTTATGTTTATAAGTGTGTGTATTCATAAGTAGATTAAAACTACAGATATATTATTTTTCCCATATGTCTAATTTAATAAAAAGTCGCTTTAAATTATAGTGTTATTCTTTATTTTTTTAATTTGTACGTTTTGGGGATATTTTGTTCCTCCCCACAGCATATAATTTGACCCAGTATAGGATAAATCTTTACATATGCTATACAGATATTTATTTTCAGGCCTTAAAGTTGTTTATAAGTGTGTATGTATTCATAATTAAATTTAAACTAGAAGCATGTTATTTTCTTCTATACGTCTAATTTAATAAACAAACAATTTTTAAGTTATCGTGTCATTCATTATTATTTTGATTTGACGTTTTGTGGATACCTTGTCCCTTATTAGACCTAATTAGAACCATATAATTAGATCCAATAATGGGTAAGTCATGGAATAAGCCTAGCTCATGATCAAATATTCAACAAATTATTAGTTTATTCTAATACTTACCCAATACTAAATCAAATAATTTGCTGAGGAGGGGGAGGGGTAAAATATCCCCGAAACAAATAAATAAAAAAATTAAACTATTAAGAGAGGTTGTTTATTAAATCAGAACAATGGCAAAACGTGATGAGTAAATGTTATGAATGTAGTTTAAATCCAATTATGAATAAATAGACACTTATATACATGTCTGTAATACCTGAAAATAAATATCTGTATAGTGTATGTCAAACCAAAAAAAAAAAAAGTTAAGGCTATAAACCAGTAACTACAAATATATATTTTAAAAATTGGGTTATTTTGTTTTTTTAAGTTCCTCAAGTTTATTAAAAACCAGTCAATGTTTTGAATACACCAAAATGTATCCAAACCAGTTTTCCCATAAGTTAATTTTGATATGAATAAATAGTATTGGTATATCATATCATATGTTATGGTATTTTACATGGATTTGATTTACAATCAATTTTTTGATGTTTTTATCCAAGTATGCGATATAATAATTTTGTGGCACAGTTGTAAAAACGTTGTTTTTTTTATTTTTATTTTTTTCAAACTATTGATTCATTTCTTTCATAAAATATTTATAGTATCTGTAAAGGTTACATTGCAAGAAGCTCGTAGTAACAAGTGGCACATTTAAAGATTTAGATTGTTGTTGCTTTTAATTATTTTTTTTTAATCAAAAAAATAATTATTGAGAGACACTTGTTCGATGACTAATTATAATCAACTCATCGCTGTTGCAGTTCGCTAGTAGTTTTTTGCTTTAACAAAATATGAATCATATGTTTACGCTACAAATTTTTAATGGGGATTTATCTCATGTGAACATCAATTTAATACGTCTGATGTTAAAGGTGTATTTTATGAGATTATGGTAGCACCTTTGTACATAATGTTTATTGTTAGATCCGGAGGTAATGTCGCTCTGGAATAAACCAGGGACGGATCCATTAGTTTTAATATAAATAATTTAATGGGATGAGCTTTGAGTCATGGGAATTATCTAATAAACTCACGCTTGAACATCGATCGGCTCAGCAACTGCTAGAGAAAGGTAAAACAATATGAAGGTAACAGCAACAGTGACTTCCATCGATACACAACGGCTCCCTCTTATTGACTGGCAAAAGGCACATCGCGGCGCATGTCTGCCACCCTAAACTCAGGCCCGATTCTCTACCCGCTATCAGTAATATTTAAAAAACATGTGAAATTAATTTTCCGATATGTTTCTACTACGCCGAAAAAAATGTCTAAGCAGTGTGAAGAACACATGGTTGTTAAAAGAGATCAAATAGGAGATTTGTGTTTTAAAAATAGCAAAAAAAAAAATTGGCGTACTAGAAATTTAAAATTCAGTGAAACTTAATGAAATATTGAACAATTTTCGTTAAAAAACAAGTTCGATCGATAAAATTGAGAGAATAAATATCATTATATAAATAGGCAAACACAAATCGGTTCAGCCCCTTTTACTCCTCTATTATTCAACTGATTTTCTTCCTTCTTTTTTTGTTTAATAGATATTGACGAGCTTTAGTGTTACCAATAAATACAAATATTAAATAGTATGGAAACAAAAATATAAATGGTAGTTTGTTCAAAACGGCCTATCCCCGAAAATTCTTCACCGATTTCTTTTTAATTTTGACGCAATAATATTTAGAAGCTTTTTTGTATACGTTTCATTATCATCGGGCCTTTCCTTTCGAAATGACGGCCGAAAAACTTAATTCGCTTTAGAATGCTAATACGCCTTCAACGATTTCGATGAAACTTGGCTAAAGTCTTCCCCTTGAAACCTTTATAATTAATGTATATAACATACTTTCCCGAAAACAAGCTGCATACATGCATACAAATTTTTGATAAATCGAAAACTTTTCATTTACTGAAGTAATTGGTTCTATTATTTAAAGAGATTATATCATGTAATGTTAGTGAATGATACCTCATAAATTAAATTTAAAAATATATTTTATAGTTATACTCATTGTTAACTTAAATACTGCACAAGCATTAGTTAATGGAACAGGAATGAGACTGAAGTATTAACGGGGCTACTTTAAATTAAAGAATTTTAATTCCAAGAATTAATTAACATTTTCTGACACTATACTTACATTCGACTTTCAAAGAACAACGTTCCTATTTATAGCTGCATTTGCTATGACCATAATCAAATCGCAGGATAAAAGTTTTGGAAAAATGTGTTATTATTGTGACGTCCAGTAATTTCGCATGGACAATTATATGTGGCAGCAATTAGAGCACGTTCATTTAAAATATTGAAATTTATATTTTCAATGGCAATGGGCATGGCTATGCACTAAACAATAACAGAACATTCAAAAAGAACATTATTTACATAGAAGTTCTGAATAAAAATGGATTTAAAGTGAATTTAAATTTATTTTTTACTTGCTTAATCATAACATTAATTTATTGTGATAATAACACACATAAATTAAAATGAAAATTAAATATTTTTGAATGAGTATATTTTGTATTACTTATAAATAATTTTAAATGACTTAAGCTCGATTTTTAATTGAAATTGAAATTTTGTTTGTATTAATAAATGAGGATTTTTGAATCGTGATTTACTCTTTATTTATTTACTTTATTTTTTATTTAATTATATCTTTTCCTCAAATTTTTAATGGCTATGGTCGAATTTCGACCACTGGGCGAACACTAGTACTATTAAATAAATAAATAAACATAATTTCTTCATATTTTGTCATAATTCACTTAAATTAAAAATCATTCATTTGAGCAGTTACTCCACTCATCATAATGTGCTATACATTATTAAATGCTTCTTAGGTACTGTGAATGTACCAGTTTTTTTTTTTTTTCCAGTTTATTGATCCGCGCATACCGGCCTTCAAATTCGAAAGATACACGTATATATATATATATACAGGGTGTCCCATAAGTAGAGGGAATTTTTTATAGGAGTGATAGCAGACCTCAAAAGCTATGAAAAATTTAAAATAAACAATGGGCCAATTTTCAGCAGAAAATTAGGAAATCCAAGTTTTGTGGTTTTTTAATTGAGTCATGTTTTTTATTGAATCGAAAGAAATAACTAAAGAAATATTTAATTTAAGTAATTAATAATTGCTTTATTGTAAACAAGATGAAATTTACTTTAAATAAACATAGAGTTTATCATTGTAAAAATCACTTACAGTAGTGTTGCTCAATATCAAAACCAGGACTGGTAAAAAAAAATCGATTTTTTAAATAAAGATTAAGGCAAAACAGTTACTAATACTTGACAATCTTAGTTACTATATGTTAATAATTGGTATAACCAATATACTTTTGCATTTAACTCCTCTAATTTTTCATTCGGGCTTACTTAGGTTTTTCCTATCTAAAAAAAATACCGTAATATCTCTATATTAATAAGCTAATAAGTAACTGCAAAACTCTTGCGCAAGTCCAAGACCATGACCAAGACTGAGTTTGCAAGACCAAGCGTCTCGGTCTCGCATTTGGGAAATACTAATTTACAGAGGACTGTTGAGTCGAAAAACTCAGGAAATAGAGTTGAATCTCAAGTTTTTCCCTAATAAACCTCAACTTAATTAATTCTAACTTAAAGCTTAATTAACGAACTTACCTTAGTTAAGCCGCTCAAAAGTCCTCTGCAAATGATTTTAACAGTGATAAAATTTATGCTAATTTTATCATCTTTACAATAAAGCAATTATTAATTGCTTGAATTAAATATTTCTTTATTTATTGCTTTCGATTCAACAAAAAAAAAACGAACCACTTAAAAAATCACAATACTTGGATATCATACTTTTCTGCTAAAAATTAACCCATTGATTAAATGAACTTTTTTGTAGATCTTAAGGTCTGCTATCGGTCCTATAAAAAATTCCGCTTACTTACGGGACACCCTGTATATAGGGCATCCCGTATATCCCATATATCCTGTAGAGGGAAATATTTAAAAGGTTGATAATAGACATCAAGATCTACAAAAAAAAGTAAATATAAACAATTGCCGAATTTTCAGCAGAAAAGTAGCAAATCCAAGTTTTGTGTTTTTTTTAAGTGAGTGAGAAACAGAATAAGTGAGAAACACAATTTCATAACCATTTTACGTGAAACATATTCGAAAAAAACAGTGTTTTTATGCAATTCTGATTACTAAAATATATCCCATAACACTTAAAACAATAAATAAAAGCTTTGAAATAGTTAATTTTAGTCATTTTTGCTGAAGAGCTACTTTTAGGTGACTGGGTAGAAAATCACATCATTTCTTTACATAACTGGAGGTGAATCTCAAAATTTACCCAAATAAACCTAAAATTAATCAATGTAGACTTAAAGTTTATTAAAAGGGTATGTTTTTCTTAAAGTGGAGTAGATGTAGTAAAATTGAAGGGTGATAAAAAAAAATCACAAATAATTTATGAATTTTTTTTAAAACGTAACTGAGCTGTTTGTTTGGTTAAAGTTTATATTAATCAAATTGAGGTTTATTATGCAAAAACTTGAGATTCACTTCAAGCTGTGCACAGGCGGATTTACGGGGGGAGGGGAGGCTTTCGGGCTAAAGCTTCCCCCCAAAACGGTAAAACATAACCATGTTTAATAAAAAAAAAATATTAAAAACTATCTCTTAAAGTATTATTGTTCGTGTAATTACATTTAATAGGACTTTAAGAATCACTTAAACACCATTTCATATAGGTAGTTCATTTCTTTCTTCTTTTTTTTTTCAAATTAACTATCGTTGTATATATGAAAAAAACTCTTTCGGGCTGAAGCTCCCCCCAAAATTAAATCCTGGATCCGTTAGTGAAGCTGTGTGAAGAAATGATGTGGTTTTCTATCCATTCTCCCAAACTTTTAGGGTACTTACCCGTGTTTTCAGCAAAAATGACTAGAATTAACTGTTGCAAAGATTTTATTTCTTGTTTTTTCCATGATCTGAGATGTATTCTAATGAAAATAATTGCCTGAATATATATTTTATCGATAAAAACTATAAAATTTAAAACAAAGATTTTTCAAATATTTTCCATGTAAAGTAGTTATGTAATTGTGTTTTTCACCCAGATTTCTGTCATAGGAATTGATCCACTTTAATTAGAGACAAACATAATGTTTCTGGTTCTAAAATAAAGAAACCTACTGATTACTTCAACTATTTTCATGAAAATGTAAATATTAGGGCTAGAAACATTAAGGTTGTCATTTATAAATACGGATCAACTTTTATGACAGAGATCTGAAAGAAAAACACAATTCCATAACCATTTTACATGAAAATGTTTAAAAAATCGTTGTTTTAAACTTTATTATTTTTATAAATGAACTATATATTTAGACAATTATTTTTATTAGATTACATCCCAGATTACGAAAAAACAAGAAATAAAATCAATTGCAACAGTTTTTTTTTTCTTTAGTAGGTCCAAGACACCTACAGAAGTCCTATGCTGCAATAGTTAATTGTATTTTTGCTTAAAACACGGGTTCTTTTATGTGACTGGATAGAAAATTACATCATTTACTTGAAGTACAACTTCTTTACCCAATTACAACTTGAGCTAAACATCAATATTTTTTTCTAATAAACCTCAACTAAATCAATATGGACTTAAGTCCATATTATAAGCTTAAAGCTTAATAAACGAGAAAGTTTTTTCTAAAAGCGGAGTAAATGTAGTACAGATAAAAAAAATCACGAATAATTTATGAATTTTTTTTTAATAGTATCAATCAACTATACTACAGATACCCCAGTTTTAGAAAAATTTCCTTGTTAATTAAGCTTTAAGAAAATGCTTATTAAATTGAGGTTTATTAGGGAAAAAATTTAGATTCGTCATTAATTGTGTAAGAAAATCGGGTGCGCACAACACAACTTTCACTAACCGCTACTACTTTGAATAGAAATTATTTTCTGGCAATTTTGGGGTATTATAAAATTTTTGAATTACATTTTAAACGGAGCTAAAGCTTAAAGCTTACAGATAACAAATCATTAAGACCATTATAATTACAAAATGTCTATTTATTACATTGACGGCAATAAAAATCTAGTAACTGCATCTGTTTG